GTACAGACAGCTGCTCTCGCAAATAGTGCTAAAACCTCACTTAAAGGAAATGCAGTTGCAGGGCCATCTCATAGATGGCGCTAGCGTGCCAGTGTGTCTCCCTTCGTAAGATATGAGAAGAGGTTGTAATGCACACGGTAGTAAGAATTAAGCCGAAAATTTCTGAAGCAGCCTTTACACAACAAAATATGGCATCCAAACGAGAATGCTTTAATCTGCGCTTTCCAAATGTTCTCACAACTTTTCTTGACAGTACCTAACTGGTAACTATAATGCGTGCGTGCCCAAATTACAGGCAGAGACAAATACGTTTCCAGACTAAATCAGCAAATTCTGCAAACTTCTACCGCAACCAAGTTTAGAAGAGTGCAAACTTGGGGAAGTTGGTGACGCATTGCGAAAATGAATAGGTGAGTTGGTGTAGTAGTATTTTTGTGTATTTGCGGGAATTGGTATTTTTGTTTTATTAAAATAACTTGTGAATTAGCGCACGGCCTGGTGTGGACATTTCGTTCACTTGTGCCTCGTCCTTTCTTTACGCTGTCTTCATTTATTTATACCGCAACAAATAAGCCTCTTGCTCAGTGGCGTAGCGATGGAGCATACTTGTGCTGCCCTTGTGTCAGGATGCATGGCGTAGGTAAGAGCTTTCCGAACTTAGGATCGCCATGACATGATATATTCCTGACGTGCTTTGTGCTATTCTTGGGCCTACCGGTGGAACTGTGAGGTTAGATATGCACTGCCTGATTACATCCCAGCCAGAGGAGGACATTCCAGCTGTTGCAGTGACGATTTAGCTTTTAGCATCCCGTAATAAATCAGTAATTGGGTAACCGAGGGCACTGTGCGTAGCATTTATACTGAATAGTGTTTCATGACTCTTTTAGGTTTTCTTCTTTTTACCTTACAAGAAATGTGCATAATATTTTTTAACCAAGTGAAACTGGAAAAAAAGTATCACAAAGGCTTAACTAGAGAGCCTTATGCTGCCAGCTCAACCACCGTTGCTGGTAATAATAGCCGAATTAGTAAATTGAAAGAAAAACGATCAGTCTCAAACATGCTTTTCTAACTTACTTGATTATAAACGAGAATTCGTTAAAAGACGACGGCTAAAGTTTGGTAATAGTGAACACGCTAGTCGTCCGCAAGTAACTTAAGTTTATTGTGAGTTTCTTTAGGTAGAGTTAGTCAGCCCTAGAAGGCTTCCGGAGTCTTCGCCGTAGACGAGAAATTTAGCCAGCACAGTGCCACTGCTAGCCCGGAATCGTTGACGTGCATCGTGCGCTAGTGGTACACGACTGCTCCCCGACACGATCCTCCAGAAGGAAACGGGCATGAGTAAATATTGAACCCATGATCCCTGGGCTCTGCATCCCGACCATCATCCGCGCGTGCTCCGTCCGAGCTGCGGTGCCCTATCACACTCGGCGTCCGATTTTCCTTTATGCGCTTTCAATTACACATTAAAAATAACAATCCCGCACATTCAAGCCTATGCGGAGCGCAAGTTCGTCTGCTTCTTTTGCAGGGGTTGGGGTTACGTCAGAAGGCCGAGCTCTGATTGGCTCTGATCGAAGGATAGTGGGTAGACCTCAAGGCAGCCTGATTTGAGTTCTACCCACTCTCCTGAAATTAGAGCCAATAAGAGCTCGGCGTTCTGACGAACCACAAGCCCTGCAAAGGATGCAGACCAGACTTGTAGACGTTACTGAAAAATAGTAAGGAATTACATTTACAATTACTCAAGGCTAAATTGTAATTTATTAAAATTACAATTACCCACCCATAAAAGTAAGTGACCGTTACCCCGAAAAGTAATCCGTTACTTTCGTGGCGTTACTTTCAGCATTACTGTTTTCAATTAAGGAAGAAAGGGAAGAGGGTTATTCAAGTTTTTATTGTTGCAACCTGTTCCATTTAACGATCTTGAGTATTTTGAGCAACAGCTGACTCTTGAAACTCGTCAGACTTTTTGCGTTATTTCTTACTCAATGTGTCGACTGCTACGCTGAACACTTTCTGAACTGAGACACTGGATGGGAGTGGCATATTGTGCCTCACGAATGTTTCATGCTTTGCATTTATCTTTTTCAGCGAAGCAATGCAAGTACTATATTTACCTCGAGAATAGAGCACAGCTTCTTGGTTGCAGCCGTTGCCTGATATTCAAGAGTTTTAGTAGATCGTTTCGATACCTCCAATGCCCCCGATAACGATATGATGAATGCGCAAAAGCGGTGGCGGAGTATCGGGTATCGTTATCGGAGTCATCGGACCGATCTACTGAAATTCTCCATTGTCGAAATCGCGAAGCTGTAGAAGTCACCATACGTGTAGTCAAAACTAGAACACAAATTGATGTATGTCCATCTTATTATACTGGCATATATTGCCAGACAAGAGCAAAGCATAGTTGTTACAGTAAGGTGATAATTAAATAATAAACAAGGTTTGCCTCGATATTCTTCTTCTTTTGGTTCTGAACAGGTCGAGCCTCGGATGAGACGTTGGTGAATAAAAAAAAAGTTCCCAGTATATAAATTTAAGTTATCAAAAAGAGGACATTTATAAAAACAATTAATTAGAACGTTGGTTAAAAAAAGGAAATGTAAACGCACGCTTGTCGTGTGTACCTTTCTTGGTGCCGTTCATAAACACACTGAGAACGAGCCGACCGCAGTTTACTCGGATGTTCTCCAGATAGACGTCCGCTGATCCCACGTGCACCGAAGGGCAGAGTACTAAGTAAGCTGCCCTATGGCCCCACTCATAAATTTCACTCTCCTTCAAGCTCAGAATATCAAGTCTATGTCAGCCACCATCATGTTTATTTGTAAAAGTATCTGCTTGAGATAGGGCGCGCCCGGTTGGGGTAAAAACAGGAAGAACAAGAAAGTAAGACTATTACCATTTCTGAAGTTCTCTAAGAAAGCTGACTCACAAAAGGGTGACTCAGCTGCAGATAACCTGGCTGGAACTCACAAATAAAGGGGGGGAAACCCTAAAATTTGGACTACAAAAAAGTAAGTAGCTTTTAAAACAGGGTCAAATGAGTTGGAAGAAGCAAAAAAAAACACATCCGGCTTTCTAAGAGAAGATGATTAGTGTGCAGCAACGAACGAGGATGCTTTTGACAATAACACCTCCACATATTATCACATCTCTTTTAGTGGTTTTTAGGTTAGACGGAGCGTTGTCTCGTGTTGTGATATTATCAAAAATGGTCGTAGTCACTGTAACCGAGAAGGACATTTTTAATTCTTGTCTGTGCACTTACCGCCTCGAGCTTCTCGAAGAGGCTCACAATCACTTAGTGTCCTCCTCTCCCCGCCTTCAATCGCAAAGAAAAACAAGAAACCAAAAAAAAAAAGCGGAGATAACTTGCTCCCTCCTTTCCTTTATTTTTTTGTAGAAATGCCGATTTGGATTTTTTTTACTGTTGTTAGTGTCAAAAAAAAGAAAAGATTCAGGGGCAGGGTGTTGCAAAAAGACTTTGAGGAACTGAAGAGTGCCAAGCCTCCCTTTGCGCTGTTCGATTCCTGTGACAGTGTCACTGCGCTCAACTTCGCAAGAAAAAATCTTTTTTTAGGGGGCGGGGGGGTAGGGGGTCCCGTAAAAAATGTAGCGGATTACAAGGAATACATTACGTCAAACATGTAAGGGAATTACTTTAAAATTACTCTAGAAAATATGTAATTATTCCGCTACTAAATTACTGATAAATGTAAGGGATTACAAGTAATTTCGTTACTTGTAACGGATTACGTACAAGTCTGATGCAGACAAACTTGCCCTACGTATTAAAGATGTCTGATTTGGGCGTCACGGAAGTAAAGCGCCATCTTAGCCTCCCAATCTATGGGGTGTGCGGAGGGAACTTGGATCCTCTGTCCGATGACCTGCCTTTTTTGTATACCCACATTGTGACACGCTAAACTCGTCGCCATCACGATTCTCACTAGCCTGCTTCCATTTCCAAGGAATATTAGCGAGCAAATATATGTGGTTTTCCTGTCCGGTCAACCGAGGACATCTAGCACACCGCAGCGAAGGCGAACTATTGTTTTCAACGTTCGACGAACGTCGAAAACTTTCGACGTGCAGACGCGTCTCAGTTACACGGCGCCTTTTCAAAGTGCAGTGACAGTGTAATCACGCCACCACGTGATTTCATGGTCTGACGTTACACGGTGACGTTACGTGACGTTTGGAATCACTTGTCATGTCGAATGTGTCACTGGATGACCGTTCACACGATCGTCTTCCTGGACGAATCGAAATTTGTCCGTAAAACTTTGGTTGGCACCTTAAGTATTTCAAACCGATAGCTTGATATGAAAGCCCTTCGACGTGCCTTTCTCGCTCGACTTAGTCTGACCCCGTGATGTTATAATGTCGCGTGACGCGATGGTGTCACGCAAAGTGACGTCACAGTTTGAAGTCGTGGTGTCAAGTGCTACAACTAGGTGACGTTACTTTAATTTCCCCTTATAATATGGCGTCCAAATCATCATGGTGTCACCTGACGTTACGTCAAGCTGTTTTATGACGTCACCGCGTCATGTGGCGCCCCAGTGTCACGTGACGTGACGTCACAAATTTTCCGCTTCATTTAATGGGAGAAATATTTCTGCTAAATTCGGGTAGAAGGCACTCCGCGTTATTAACCAAATCGAGGGATATCGCACCTTCATTGCTCTTAACGGGATGGCTAAGCCACGTGGTTTTTCTATGGAAAAATATACCCCTTTTGAAACAACATCAAGCCGCATTGGCAGCCGCCATTCCTTGGTCACGAAGCATGTGAGTTGATCGGAATCCGCGCCGAATGCAGAAACAACGCTCGTGTTTAATACATATTCGGAGTACATGCCCAAAACAACGGCTGACTCCGGTAATGAGCGAAGCAGCCACCAGATGGGGCGCACTTTTGAAAAGAGTATATTGCATGAGAGACAAACTGCACGCCGTGAGCAAACTGCGCATTTCATTACCTTGCCACAGATGTCCTGGAGCGAACAGAAGAAGGACGCCACCACTCTCGGAGAGTTGACTGCAATGGGAGTCTTCACAACGCCAGGGTGGACCGAGTTCACTGTTACGCCTGCAGTTCGAAAGGCACCAGAAAAACGCGTGTTAAAACAGATCCTTAAAAAGAAACAAAAAAAACCAGCCTTAACGTCTTGGTAAAATAAATCTTTGAGAACCAGGAAAACACAACTTATAATTGACGTCTAATATATTTTTTTTCGATTAATATTTTCTTTTTTGTACACGGCCTAAATAATTTGCTGTCACCGGTTTGTGTTTCGAGTGAAGTAATTACATAGTGCGGATGCGCTAGGCAGCCTAAACCTTGTTCTTGCCTGCCAAACGTTTTGATCTCATGTGTCCACCCAAATTATCGCTGTTTGTCTACTAAGAAAAAAACATTTCGCATTTCACGTTGAATGGTTTTGCTGATCGGCACACATGATCCTGCTGTTAATCGGGCTTCTACGAAGGTATTCAATCAGTTAAATCATGGCTATGTCTACGTGGTAGTACTCAGAGTTTTTTAAAACAAAAGAAAAAGCACTAGAAAACATTTTTTTTTGTTAATACTTGAACAATATTTAAAGGTTTCTCATACTCAATGGCGTGCAGAGTTTTTCTCTTTTTTTTAAGTTTGTAATGACATATTATTTACCTATTGTAAAAAAGTGTGTCCCCTAATATTTTCACATCTTTAGAATCTCACCTGAGTTGTGGCATTGAGATAAATTAAGAAATTACGAAGATGCGAACCAGCTTGCAGATACTAATGGTTACTTCGTGAGAAAGGGGGAATATTTGGAAGAATAGGAAGGCCAACAAAAGAAGGCCAAGCCGAAGTCAACAGACACAAATGAACACACAACGGTTGACACTCGCACAAAACCCGCCATCAAAGATTATAAAAGCTGGATCACTTCTCCGCTCCTGATCCAAGAGCGCGCATCCTTTGGTAACAAGAAGCGCTGGTTGGTGTAGATCACAGCCAAGGCCGCTTCACCACTGCCGCTTTGGTATGACCTGCCACTTCAACGGGAAATGCATGCCAACTGTGGTCAAGCTGAGCTTCGTGCGCTCATCACTTGAGACGCGATTCAGCGGTGACGAGAGTCATGTGACAGCAGGCGACGCGCCCTGCGCGTTCCCTGTGGTTTTGGCTTTTCTCCACGGCAATAAAAAAGTGGTTTCTGCAAAAAATATTGAAATTAGAATGACCGCTTTTAAATTGCAGTGACAGTTATGTCTCGTCGTAAAATGGAATGTTCTATTTCCATTACATTTTCTTGTTTTTGTTTTCGTATTCTGTTGAAAGGATTGTGCCACGGCAACTACGTCCGCGCAGACGTATAACACATACATATACACCAACCCATGTTTACAAACGAAGCGGAGCGTGCCTAGCGGACGCCACTGGCGCCGCGCATGCGCGATGGGGGTGTGGGCAAACGGCTCGCCGTCGCCCATGAACAAACCATTGAAATGTGATGTTGTCGGCGTCCGTGTGAGTCCCCCTGCCCTTTTTTGCGTTCGAATCGGTGATTCTACGTCTTCTTGGCGATGTCTGACTACTTGAGCGGCGTCACCGAAATTACCGAGGCTCGTTACACCGCAAAACTTCGCGTGAATAATGTGACATGTGGCGATTCATTCCGCGTGGACGCGGCAGTATGTACGCTACCGCCCAATTCGCATGATGAGATTTCGTTAGCAATTTTCAGTCGCGACGCCGCTCGGGCTGCAAAAGCGTGAACCGTAGCTGAGATGGTCGACGTCGATATTGAAAATCACAAGCAGAATCGGACCAAGTGAATCAGGCATAACAAGTAGTGATGGTCACTGGTAACAATGATCAACATCTCCTTGTATCTATACTGTTTACATCGAGCCTGCTTCTCTAACCTTCAAATTTGTCTTTTGAGGCCTGCACTTACTTCTTATCGCAAGTACCGGGCCAGCATTTGGTCTTCGGGCCGGTGTAGTCTAAGAGAGCAGACGACAAGCATAAACGTTTGAAAGAGCAGACGTCAATTCGACCGATCAGGCGGCCGTTCGAACTTGAAGACGCACTGAGCGTAGTCCGCAGGTGGTCCGTACAACTTGAAGGTTTTCCGGCGTTTATGTTGGAACAAAACAAATAAATCTGATGACCACAAGTATCTGTGAATTTAACCCAAAGTGCTTCCCGCCCAAGCAATCGTTGTCCGACGGCGTCTGCTTTTCCCTTTTGACGGCACATATCCAGATTCTCGGACGAACCGAGCACGTGAAAACTGACCTTCAAACCTTTCTCGACACTTCTGGTACGGCCCCAGTCGCGGCGTTTTGACGAGAAGACAGGCTTTTGTCTGGTTCTTCCCGAAACAACGCAGGAATACACGTCTGGCATGGGGACTTCTGCCCACAGCCCCAGACCAAAAGGGCGACCGACGCGCCACCACCGCACCGTGACGTCACAGAGTTGAATTCTCCCTTAACGTTTGCCACAAAAACTTAAATATATGTCTTTCTCTGCCGAGTCAATTTCTCTGGTCGATTCAGCGAGGGGACCCTACATCTTGAGGGGAGAGCGCAACTAGCTTAATACAGTTCTCTACAGCTGAGCTTTAATGTGAAGGTCGAGTGTCCTTGAATTTATTAGAATTTAAACGATGGGTATAAGGCAGGGACCTCTAATACCATCCTGGGTGCGACATCGACTGGCGTGTTTAACTTTCTTATACCATCCACGCATGGAAGTAGTCCCAAAGTGACAACAAACGACATCACAGAAGCCGCCACGTCCTTTTAGAGCGCAGCTCTTAGGCGCCCGTTTCCGGCCTGAGCGGCGTCGGCGTCGCCGTCGGCGTAACCGTGCGGCGCATTATGGGTAAATTTCCCCGCTAAATCTAGCGGAAAAATTTCCCTGCTAAATTTAGCGGTAAATTTTCCCTGCTAAATCTAGGAGAAAAATTTCCCCGCCAAATTTAGCTGAAAAATTCCCCGCTAAATCTAGCAGAAACATTTCCCCGCTAAATTCTAGCGAAAAAATTTCCCGGCTAAATCTAGCGGGAAAAATTTCCCCGCTAAATCCAGCGGAAAAATTTCTCTGGGGGTCACGTGACCCCCCGAGGTCATGTGACCCCCGTGGTCACGTGACCCCCAAGGTCACGTGACCACCGTGACCTTGGGGAGGGGGGCATGTGACCCCACCAAGATAACATGACCACCCTCCCCTCGAGGTCACTTGAGCCCCCCCCCCCCCCCGGCCAAAACACGTGAACCTCAGTACCCTTCCCTCCTCGTCCTCAAGAGCTGCGCTCTAATTCGGCGTTACAGGGAGTTGAAAACGGCTTTCACTTTGTCAGGTACCGATATTCTGACGCTGGTCGTAGACTTTCTGCCACAGAACTATGAGCCAACGCTGTGGTCACGGCATTCGACCACCTGGATGCTAAAGCTTCCTTGGACTGTCAAGCTAAAGAAGGACCTGCACAGAACAGTCATCTTTCACGTAGACCACGACAGCTGTGTCACATCCAGGTTGGCTGCCCACACTTGACACCGACAACATTTATGACGTCACAACACTTTTATGGCGTCATAAAGGGGATTAAAGTGGGTTAAATCAGGGAGATTAAACAAGGACGATACGCCGCGGTCAAAATTTCCCTGGAAGTACATGGTCGGTGCACTTTCAGGCGGCACTACAACTTTCATCTATCTCGGGTTCGGAGCAGGCCGTCCAAAAGTTTTTCAGCGAAGTTCAGATTGCTCCACTGACGCAATTTCAAAATATAAAATACGCTTTTGCACCGCTCGCGCTCGTTTACCGCCAGCTACTGCACTCTAAAAAAAAAAAAAAAGTGAGTCTGCTTTCCCGCACAACACTCAGAGAGCCAACCACCGCAACTTACGGAGGCAGCTCAGCGAATAAAAATGCCGAAACATATTTTTCGACCAAAAAAACGCAGACGGAGTTGTGACATTAAGCAATGCAAGCGTGACATTTTGCATTGCTTAATGTCACAACTCAGACTGCGTTTTTCGGTCTAAACATATGTTTCGGCATCGTCATTCGCTGAAGTTACTCCGTAAGTTGCGGTGATTGGCTCTCCGAGTTTTGTGCGTGAAAGTAGACGCACAGACTTTTTTTAGAGTGTGGCGCTAATCGACACCGCTGGTGAGCGTCCCCTGACTCGGTAGTCAATACACAACGGCCGTCCTGGGAACTATCGCTACCAAAGGCAAAAATAGCCAATAGGTATAGGCCCTGCCCGGCGAAGTGTGAAGAATTATTAACCGAGAGCGGCACTATTGTGAAAATTAAAGGGCGGATATGAAGCAGAGCTCAATTCCCTTGGCTCAAAGATTGTTTTCGAAGTTTTCTCTTGGAAAGCAAAGTAAAAATTTCGACACCATATATGCAAGAAAAAAAAAAAAAACTAGAGCGTGAGGTCGGTCTGTTCTAGAGATAGGATGACACTGGCGGTGCTAACCTTATGACTTTAACGCTTGTCAGTATCCTTGTGTGAAAAAGACCTAGAGGCTGACGAAAATAATCCCTCGAGAAGGGGAACAAGAGGGACAAAGGACAAACAAATCTTGAAATGCAGCTTGTCCAGCTCGCTTTCACCATTGCATTTAATTGCATTATAATTATAACCGAGAAGCTATTTTTTCGCATTCTCCAGCGCAGTCACTATTAGGCGTTCCGCGAGTTTTATACCTCCCCGTACCATAGTTGGAGCACCCCAAAAGAAAATTTTCAAGTCACTTTGCATCATCTATATTATGTATTATATTATAATTCATATTTATGTAATTATGTTACATTAGGTTATATTAAAATATACCTATAATATCCTTATATTATACAGTCACGTCCCGTTTGTGTCGCCGGCGCAGCGACCAAGCACACACAAGCGAATTAGACAAGACGTCTCCATCAATCAAACGACTACGTCACTCTTCCAACCCTTAAAAATTCATTGTCGGATTTTAGTTAATATTAGTTAACTTATTATGATGGCTATCCCCTTATCTAATGTCCAGCCGAACATGATAAATACATGGTGAAGACGGCACCCGTCTAACTCTCATCTCCTTTAAAAAAATTATCTGTCCGAATTAAACTAATACACCCTGTATATTATAACTACGTCGTTTGTTTGTGGACAACATTGTCACGTGGTACAAGGTGAATGGGCTCTAGATGAACTGGTAAGTGAACACTGAATGAAGCCTTGTTACCCTTGTCTTTTAGTTTTTTGGCAAGCGCCCTGGTGCAGGGGACAACGGCGAGCTTGTTGTTGCAGTAGGCGGCGTCAGGATCATTGACCGGATGTCTTCCCCTAGCGCGGTCTTCGAAGCGGTCCAGGTTTCCCAAGTGATGCAGCATCGAGGACACATTCACCACTCGGCTGGGAGCGCTCTTCCTGAGCAGATCTGCGCGGGACGAGAACCATTGACAGCAGTCCGATTTCTCGCGACATCTCGGGCCTCCAAAGCGAAATGTTTGAAAGGACCCTCGAGGAACGTTTTCAGATACCTCTGCGACCGTCGGCATTATTTATTATTTCTTTGCTGCTCATTCCGTTACTCTCGTTTTAAGGATTTGCAGAATAATCGTACCTTTAAAAGTGAGTAGGGCTATACACTTCGTTCATCCCTAAACTGACATCGGGGTGGGAGCTGCGGGCTCGCCGGCCATTTAACAGCCTCTGTTTTGTTACGTGACTCCCCTCTCTGCGCGTGGGTATGAGCGAGAGCATGGTCACGTGGCAAAGAGATAGACGTAAGGGTGGTCCTACCAGCGCGTAGCTTCCCCCGCATTGTCAGCGTAGGGGTGAATATGGTATGGTGTTAATATGGCAGGTAGACACAGTCCTAAAAGAGCGGGGGGGGGGGGGGGGGGGGTCTTTTGCACGCGCAGTGCTGCACCACGTGGGGGTAAACATTGGCCTGTTTGTCTACAACTTGCAAGCCGTGCAGGCAGTGTAAAATAACACTATATTTTCCGGGGTTTTTTTCGACTGTTTTCATGGGCATTTGTTCCTTAATTTCACTCCCTCAAAGCTCTTGTAATTTATCGGAAACTGCCTGTACTGCCCATATATTCTAGCATTTTACGTCACGTTATTTATGTTGCCAGTAGACCTTGTCAGCCACCCAGACCAAAGTTCAAAAATGCATGCCTTCGGGAAAGAAACAATATTGTAATTGTAATTGGGGTTATTATTTCTTGTCTTTTTATCTTCTTAACAAGTTTTAGGAAACAGTGATTAGCAAAGTTTAGCCTTAACGCTTCATGTCCACAGTTGCTTAAAAGTAACATCCCAACGCATTTTTTTTTCTGCATACGAGTATCACACCGGTAGCCACACCTTTGCTTCCTGAAGTTTCCAGCATTGATAATGCCAGTACTATATAAACAAAACCTAAATCATTCTCGGTAGTTAAAAAAAAAAAGACGTATGACAGCGCTCGAGCAGCTTTAATGCAAACGTATTGTTGACTCACCTAGGAGTAGAAGCGTAAGCAACAGGTGACCGAGATAGTTAATTTGGAAGGCCGTTTCGTAGCCGTCCTCTGTCAGCTTGGGACTACCAGGCCCTGCAGAAACATCACTTGAGTCACCTCAAAAGCTCTATAAATTTTAAGAAACGGCCAAACCCAAAACAAACAAAAACACTGAAACCTACTAGCAGTGCTGCGCCAATGAACGTCTGAATAAAGAAGCGATATACATGTGAACAATGGTTCGTTTCTTTTTCGCTTCACTGCTTTTAGGGCCTACATCTCCATTTGTATATTATTTTATTTGAATTAATGTGCATTTATTAAAATTGCGACACTATATTCAATTAGTGTTTTCTTTTAGAAAGTGGTGAGGTATCGGGTACAGCAGATAAGAAAAAAGAAGACACAGTTACTGAGAGACGGATAACCACGGGCGTGGCTAATATCGGAGAGATTGCTGCATGAGACTATAAGAATGCCGAAGATCAAATCACGAAGTAAGGGCAGCAATCATCATAGCGCCACCCCCGGCGTTTCTTATGTTTTCAATGGGCATAGGAAAACATAGAATACGCAAATGGTTTTGAATTAACCGATTAACCCACAGGTTAATCGGCTAACGGATTAATCGCTGAGTAATATTCGTCGCCATGAACTGGCGAAAATTGAATACTTCTATCACGTGCATTATCCTTGGCGCTTTCGAACTCAAGATCACAAATTTGTTCACTGGTGATGCTTCGACTCCTCAGGGCTGTACGTTTCCAAAGTTCACCATTGCAAACTTCTGTTTTTTTTTCGCCCTTAATTATGCACAAAACTATGGTACACCTAAAACCAATTAGAATCTACAGTCAAGAGAGACAAGAGCAGCATAAAAAAATGTCGCATCGATCAATCAGTTAACTTTAATTTATTTTGACTTGACCAGGGTAGCAATGCTTCAATTTGGGCTATTTGGTTTGACATACTGATGTACACTGCGCTGCGAAGTTACACTTACCACATAAAGACGTAAAGTGTGAGATGATATGAAAGACAGTTAAGAAAATGACGTACTTGTGAAAGCGCAAACTAACATTTGTTTATTTTTCGTTTCTTTTTTCTTCATTCTTTTGTTTTAAAGGATAAAACCTGCCTGATAATTCACGGAATTGAAAATTTATCTCTTTGCGGGCAATTGTAGACACGGTGTTTTAGGGGACAGGAGTTGAGATGACGCATATGTACCTGAGAAATCGTGGAAAGGACTGAGACGATTAATGTATTTTCTGTCATTTGTAGACAGTGGGTGTTGGTGGTGTTGTTGTAATGCTGTTGGTACTCTGGAGCTGATGTTTGTCCTGCTGTGCTGCGGAATCTTTTTAAACAGTTCTATTTCTTTTTGGTTTAGGGGCTGCTGAGTGTTCAATAACGCTCGTGCCATGCCTTCCGGAAGCTATGTGAAAAGTTTCCATGAATTCGCGCATAATCCTTTCATAGTGCGCTTGGTAGCACACTGTGCAAGATGCAGCTGCGACGCTCTCCTTGCAGATACAACCATCTTAAGTAGAACACAAGACAGGACGCAAGCGCGAAATCATGGAAGCTTTTCATATGGCTTCCGGAAGGCATGGCATTTGCGTTAGTGAACCCGTCAGTAGCTTTAAAACAAAAAGAAATATAACTGCTTAAAAAGAGTCCGCAGATCAACAGGGCAAACATCAGCACCAGGGTGAAACAGCATAAGCACCAACACCACCAACACCAACTGTTTGCAAATGACAGAAAATGCATTAATCGTCGATGTCATTTCCACGATTTCTAAGGTACATACGCGTCATCTAAACTCCAGCCTTTATCTGTCCCCTAAAACACCTTGTCTACAAGCGCCTGCAAAGACGTCAATTTTTAATTCCGTGAATTATCAGGCAATCTTCATCCTTCAAAACAAAGGTATAAAAAAGGGCGGCGAAGAAAGGAAAAATAAACAGTTATTAGTTTGCGCTTTCATAAGTGCGTCATGTTCTTAACTGTCTTTCATATCATCTCATAGTTTACGTCGTTATATGTTATGTGTAACTTCGCAGTGCAGTATACATCAGAATTGACGAGGGTATGTTGTGTCATCTGTAACTTCTCGTATTTTGGAAAAGGTCAGTTGACGTGCCGCATTCACAAAAATTATAAGAAAAACACGCGCCTAAAGGTTGTTACATTTTCCGGTCGGTGGATATTTTTTTTATATCGGCATTGCTGTTTCGTCTTACATGTTTTTTCGTTTATTTATTTGTTGTCATCGACTGCCATTAAGTTAACAAGGAATCGTAGAGTTCCGCACAGCTGCTTTTCAATTCGCGGTCCTAGATTTAAATGGAAAAATATTTCTAGGTAAAAAACACGTATTTCCCACTTTCGAATTACTTAAAAGTACTTCGTACTTATCAAATCTACGCCAGTAAAAAGATGTATATGCATTGTTCCGTCCTCTCCTCTAGTTTTGCGTCAAGCATTAGGTTGTACGAAAAGCGAACCAAATATTTAAATGAAATTGTTTAATTAAAACGTAATCTTTCGGCGTCGCTAGGGATATTAGCGTGTGCGAATCATACTTCGAAATATAGAGCGTGATATTTATATTTTCTGAAATTTGGAACCTATTAATCAATCGAATAATTATAATTTCTTACTGGGTTCAAAATGTTTTAATAGGCCTACAACCCTGATATTCACTTTACTGAATTCCAAACACACTCACAAACATGAAACAAAATAAAAACGTATTTACTCGATTCTAAGCACGCCCTTTTTTTCATACCCGCGATGTTCAAAGAGGGGGGGGGGGGGGGGGGGGGGGGGGGGTGCTAGGATTCGGAACATGCTTACATTTGCATGCAAACTTTTTTTCGGGTGTTTATGTTTGAAAATGGGGGGGGGGGGGGGGTGCCTAGAATCGCGAAAATACGGTAGGTAGGAGAAATGTATCAGAATTCATAGTATAAAACCGGGTTCAGTGTGAAATATTTGTGTTTCGCGGGTCTGTGCCTTGTTTTATCTTTTATTATACAAATAAACTACCAGCTGGTCCGGCTGAGTACCCTGGCCTCAGAAAAAGTACGGCTCCCTTGCCGTGTTCTACTACGGTCTACACACAAACTGCCCACAAATATTTTGTCGACAACTTTAGAGGATTATGATTGTAAATCTGAGACTGGGGCAGAAAAGAGATCATAACAGGAGGTACTAAAAGAGGAGGCAACGTCTCAAACTCAGGCTGAGTTTGAGACGTTGCCTCCTCTTTTACTACCTTCTGTTGTGTTCTCTTTCCAGCCCCAGTCTCAGGTTTACAATCATGTTCAACTTACACCAGCTCGCCTGCATTCTGACTATTTTTTCTTTAGCGGATTTATTGCTTCTAAAGATCTATAGAGAAATTTTACCGCGAAATATAGTGGTATAGATGTTTTCGTTAGATTTAGCAAGGACATTTCTCCGCTACGTTACGCGATATTGTGACGAGACGCCCCCACTATGGCGTCACGTCACAGTATGACATCACGTTGCATACTGACGTCACGTCGCACCATGACGTCACGTCCCGCTATCACTTCACGCGACACCATGAAGTCATGCGAGGCTGTTACAACACTTGCCACGAAGACGCTACATAAAAGGAACTCGGGTTTTCGCAGCGAAGCCATCGCTAATACAAATTGTCACCGTAAATAGCTCGCCGAGTTTTCTTTGCCCGCACCAAGCAAAACGCCGGCGTTGTTGACGAGTACATCCAGCCTCGTCTCCGTCGCAACGATGTCTTTGGCAAACGCTCGAACCGACTTGAACGAGGCCAGGTCCAGGTACTTCACGATGACGAGCTGCCTTGTGTCCTCGAAGATTTCGCTGGCCGCCCTCTTCGCCTCGTCCAGGTTGCAGCAGCCGATGATGACACGAGCCTTCCGTCGAGCTAGCTCTCTGGCAGTCTCCTTGCCCATCCCTGCTTGGGCAAGGGAAAGGGAAGATGACCCCCAGACAATTCTTGAAATTAGGCTAGGACTAGTTGGTGATAATACCCACAGTGGCATAAACTATCGCAGGAAAGGAAGGCTTCCACGCAATGGTGACAGATATCTACATTCTTACCACTAAACGGGTACGAATGTGTCAAACGAAAATGTCTAATTCTAAGCGGCATAGAATAACCTCAAAGCAACTCTGGCGTTTATAATAAGATGTTTCACAACGCAAAGACATAAGAAATTAAAGAAATTTATGATATATATAAATATATATATATATATATATGTAGGTACAGTAAGGTAAATATAAAAACAATGGACCGGGAAAAGTTAATAAGTCAAAGATGCGTACTGTTGGAGTTACTAATTCGAAGTTTATTACGACGTTTCGAGCTCGAAACGTCGTAATAAACTTCGAATTAGTAACTCCAACAGTACGCATCTTTGACTTATGTATATATATATATATATATATATATATATATATATATATATATATATATATATATATATATATATAGGGTGTTTCAGAAAACTCGGGCCAAATCGCTCCTGCGAAAACTACTCATCGCAACAAAAAAAAAAGGCTTGTGTCGTTTTGGTCCCGGGCCAGGGGCCCATTTAGAAAAATTATTAAAGTCCGTGATAATTAAGTTGTTCATTATTTTTGCGTAATTAGTTTTTAATATTGTGTTTAAGGGCATGGTTTCAATTAGAAAATTGTACAGCATCTTCGAAAAACAGTAAATCAACAAATTGCAGAACGATAGAAGGCACGCGCATCATTGTACGGCTTTCTGAAAAACCGCACAAATTCGCCGGGTTTTAAAGTTTCGGTTTGCTATCGGAGCGCATCTCGGCCCGGGCGGCGCCGCGCCCCGTGGAGAGTTAGTGCAAACGGCCTCTGCTGCGTCGCGCGATGACAGCGCAGCAGAGGCTTTATATATATATGGGTGATTTCATCTCAACTCAGGCACGGATTTAGGGTCGAATTTTTAATTTTGACGAAAAAAATATATGTTTTGGGGCAATTCCTATAATAAAAGAAGACGCAAACGGTTATTTCGTTGGATTTTTTTGTTCTCAAGTTATGGACCATTGAAGCGGTCAAGGTGGAAATTGATGTTTTTCCAGCCTATCGGAGGTGCCATATTTCACTCCATCCCTTTTCCCTACTTTTTACGCTACGTCAATGTAACTTTTTGGGAACGCTCTAGACATAGGCTTTTTTATGCTTATAAAGCGTCTAGGTCATAACATTCGTAATGATTTTTTTTATTTGTCAAACCGCCTCTCTTTGACGATATTTGACGAAGTTCAGCGAGCTGTGCTGTGTGACCTAATTCGCATATTTTTATGATCTTTATATCCCCGTAAAGCACCAATTATGCTCTTTATTTTGATTATAATTTCAATATTTTGCCACAAGTATATAATGCGCTACATCTGCCTGAAAAACGAATATTTCGAAAAACAAGCAATTTTGAAGTCGATTTTCTAAAAAACCCCGCTTCTTATTTTTTCCATTTTTTATTCACAGTTAGTTAATATAGTAGTCTAGCAGGAACTACCAACAGAAATTGTAATATATTGTTTGTATGGCCGCTATTAAGACTCGAATCTCGTGCTATGAGCGTTTTGAACGGGACTTCGCACAGGCGCTTTGCTGAGCAGAATTTTGGCCAATGTAAAGTTTTCTATTTAATGTTAGTACTTACCACAATATCTGAGCGTAAAAGCAAGTGAAGTAACAAATTTATCCTTACAATATTTATTTACTTGGCACTGGGGTGATTTGAAATGTGTGTGAGCATCGCCTTATGTATTGACGGAGAAGTACGTAACATCTAAACTCACGGACAAACGGAAGTCACGAGGGAAAAGTCTAAGTGACCTGGCATGAATCACTGCAAATAGAAATGAAACCTAAACACATGACTAACGCATTTCAAGCCTTACACGCCACGAAATGCTTGTCCTTACACGCCACGAAATGTTCGTTATTTTACGAAAGAGGCCGTATGTGCACAAAATAGACCGTACTTCCTCAGCGTCAGATACTGAATCGCACATATGTATATGCACTGCGTATCTGTTTGACATAAGAAAATATGACAATTACATATAAAGTTCGGAATTTTAAACTCAAGATGCGACACGTAACCAGAGAAGGGAAGTAATATTTCATGTTGTAGCCTAAACATGTTCATTGCATAAAACATATCAAAATGTGTTGACCAAATGTCTCATATACTCCTAATTAACACAAAATACACTCAAAGTTAATACAAATATAAACTTGAAAACGAATTGAACACCGCCAAATTCCGCCTGGTTTACGGATAGACGACGCAGTACCTTTTCAATACTACACGGCGCTGCTCACACAAAAATAGTGATAAACACCTGGGATAGGGATAGTCATCTTTCGACGTAGCACATTTCGAGACAATAGGTTGATGCAATTCTGAGCCAGTTTTCGCTTTGTCCAAATTGTAGTCAGTTCAGTGTCAAAGTCTCCCTATTGAAAATCGCTCTGATGGGATTTCAGGATTTTTTTAAAGGGTGTGAAAGGGACTTCAGGAATTCTTGTGATGTTTGAAAGGTGCACCGATATTTCCTGGTGGGTTCGTTGGCCCCGTCAGAGGCTCTCCTGAAATGTCTGAAGTCCCCTTTACAATGCCTTGAAATGTCTGGAAGCCTGTCAAGAACTTTTCTAATGGGGTCGGGAAAACCTTCAGGCTTCTTGAGATGTCGGCGGGCCACGGCTTAGGTCGAGAAAACACATTTCGCAGAATTAGAATATAGCCTTATTGTACGCTACGGGGAAAAAAAAGTATTTGGAGAATGCCGATCGTATGTATGTACGGTCAGATTTGTAGTACTGCTCTTCTATCAATTACGAGTGGGTCGTCTGTCACTGCCCGGGGGTTCGGTCGCCAAGGAGGCCACTGAGGGCGACCGCCCCACGTAGAGAATCAACGAGCCGCTGGCCGAGTGGTGTTGACCGAGCGGCGTTTTGAGGCGAACGCAATCCTGTCCGCTGGAGGCGAAATCCGTGGAACCATAAATAAAAAAAAAAATAAACAAGCTGACAGCACTGCGCGCTTTCCAGAAAGAGGGACCCACGCGGGAGCGACTCGTTCCGGGAACCGGTTCTTCCACGGGAGACGGTCCCCAAAAGCAAGTCACACTGCCCCTCTCTCCGCCCGGCGATGGGGAGAGGGTGCAGGGCTGCCAGCCCAGCGGTCGGCGGGAGAGGGTGGTGTGTGCAAGCGGGGGAGGCCAGCCGCCAGTATAGCCATTTTCTCTCTGCTCGTGGACAGTTCCGGTTAGCCCACACAGCGGATTTTTGGAGCGGACCAATTTCCTCCAGCAAGGTGAGCGTGCATGCCTTTCAGGGCTCGCCCCTTGGTCTCTTTTGATTCTTCCTTGGTTCCGCAGGTGCACCATAGTTCGGCGCTGGCCGCCTTCAGCACCGTTCGAGCGCCGTCGTGTTCAGCGCATTCAAGGAGATGGTGGCCGGTGTCGGCTTACTCGCTGCAAAGCCTGGCAGTCGGGGTCAGCGTCCCACCGCATGTTGTGCCTGCGCACCGGGATTATGGCGCTGTGGGCCCTGAGACAGTGGATGACGGTCGCTGTCCGGACTTGGTTTTTGCGCCTCTTCGTCCGTCCGACTTCAGAAGCATCCAGCGAGCGAAAAATACGCCGAAGACGCCGGCGTATTGTCATCATGGACGAAACCGTGACTGTGCTCGGGATTTTTCAACGGCGGCGGGTGCTAGCGCTTGCGACTTCGTGGTTCTCGCTAAACGCGCCTACTAAGACTGTGTATGTGTACGTGAGGTGCACCTGCTCGGTTTTATTAGCTGAATTACCGCACATCAGGAATATACCCAGCGGCATTGTGAGTACTTCGAAATATATTTTTCTTTGTGTTAAAGAAGTCAGTTGTCCCTGTTTGATGTGATCTCTTTCGTCTACCGCTCCTTGCGCCGGGTTTCAACAAACGTTGCTTTTTATCACCTTTTTGAGTTATAATATGCATGTAAAACTAAATGTCTGCAATAAATTTTGAATAATGTTTTGAACTGCATTTTGTCTGTGGTTCACAGTTATTTGCGCGTCTAAAGGGGTGATGGGCTAAAGGGTCTGGCGGGTTGAAGGGCTGTGGGGCTAAAGGGTTTTTCTATGGGGCATCCCTGAAGGGTTTTTCTGTAGGGTATTTTTGAAGGGTTTTGAAGGCCTGTGAGGTCCCATAATCCTTCAAGGCTGCCGGGCCCTTTAGAAATATTTTCAATAGGGCTATGGCGCGTCGTCTGATCACACAGCGCACACTCACAGGGGGACAAGGATGAACGCACTGTTTGAACGGTGCGGCCTTTTCACGGTCCCACCATTTAGCTCTGTCTATTCTGGGGTTTGGTAAACTTTTTCTAGGACCACATCACCTCCCCCTTCCCCCATTGCTTTGCTCCACACATGAGAAGATTGCATGCCTTTCGATGGGGTTACCTTCTCCCACCCCTTCCTTTTAAGCTCCCGATAACGGGACAGCTCCTCTTGGTCGATGAAGAGAAGCGTTATCCCCTTGATTTTCTGGCCGAGAGCTTCAGCCCTATTGAAAATATTTCTAAAGGGCCCGTCAGCCTTGAATGATTATGGGACCTCACAGGCCTTCAAAACCCTTCAAAAACACCCCACAGAAAAACCCTTCAAGGATACCCCATAGAAAAACCCTTTAGCCCCACAGCCCTTTAACCCGTCAGGCCCTTTAGCCCATCAACCCTTTAGACGCCCAAATGACTGTGAACCATAGACAAAAATGCAGGTCAAAACACTGAAAATTTATTGCCGACATTTAGTTTTACATGCATATTATAACTCAAAAAGCAACGCTTGTTCAAACCCGGCGCAAGGAGCTGTAGACGAAAGGGATCACATCAAACAGGGACAACTCACATCCTTATCACAAAGA